CTGTCTTAGAGGAGAGCTTCCAAAATGCTCAGACAGGGTACGAAGGACGGTAAGCAGTTGCTTTAGACATTTTGTCTGGATCTGGATAATGTTTTCTTTCAGCGCTTAATTCATTTCTCCTTCATTGTCACAGGTCTGATCATGCAGCTGGAAGAGAGGAAGAAGCTACTTTTCTTTCCAACCTTAAGTGTCTGTGGCAAGGATTCATTCATATGCACGCTGTGGCAAAGTTGGTGACAAAAGCTTTTCCCGTCTCAGGTGTTTTGGACAACTTGACTGAGGTAAAGCTGACACATCAGACTGTACTTGGGTTTTAAACAGCTGTTGTAAACTATGGTTGACAATGAAAAGTGTTTCAGAAAAGGGGAAAACTGAGGAAGATGAAAGACAATAAATACAAATATTCACAGTTCGTACGGATGCTTGAAATTTTAATATTGTCTTTTCAAGGTTTGAAAAGTGCCCGAATTTCAGATGTGGTGTTTAAAAGTGCTTGAAACTGTATTTCATTCAACACAAATAACTATCTGACCAAATAGTTTTCTTATCAGATAGAGAAATAAAATGAGTCGCAAAGTCTAAAAGCAAAATTTCTCTGCCTGGGCTGCCGAGCACCTCTGCAAGTCAGTCTGTTTCAATTTGTTTTAATTTTTACATGGCCTTACTGAGGTGATGCTAAGTGAAACATGCATTCTTTTTTTTTTGGTAATGTGCTGGAAAAGCTTGAAAACTGACCTTGAAAGTGCTTAAAAGGTGCTTGAATTTGACCCTGAAAAATGTGTATGAACCCTGAATATTAGTATTCTTTGACAGTTGTTTAAGCAACAGCCAGGCAAGAGCCAGTTCTGATGAATGGCAGTAGGATAAAGATTGCTTTTAGCACAGATACAGGGAGAAAATGGCAGTCAGACATGAGTATTTATGTACTAAAAAAACAAAACAAAACATTGCAGAAATGTGCTGACACTGTTGTAGAACAGTTTATTAGGACACAGGAAATATAAACCACAGTCTAGCTGGAAGAACTAGAATTGTAACATTACTCCCACGTAACTACAGATT